TGCTTAAGAGGCACTGATTTTCTGTTGAGGGTGGTGAAAAGTATTTGGAAATGGATGGTGGTGACGGGCATACAACACGGTGAATGTAATTAATGTCACTAAATTGTACACTTGAAAAAGGTTAAAATGGCAAACGTCGTGTGATATATATATGTAAACGTATATATACATACATACACACACACACCCACACCCACAAATATATATATACACATACACATATATATATATTTTTTATTGTGGTAAAAAATATATACATTAGCACAACATTTGCCAGTTCAATTTGTCCATGTACAATTCAGCGATATTGATGACGTTCATCATGTTGTGCAACCATTACAACTATCGTTTTCCAAATTATTCTACCACGTTATATATATTTTAACCACAATAAAAAAATTGTTTTGGAATGTTTATAAATCCTACAGTTTGTACCAAAACAGAAACTTGGGGCAGGGGGCAGGGAGGAGATAATCCTGTGATTCTCTGGGATCTAAATATTTGAGAGTGGACTTAACCGAGGGTAAGAAGAAATGTCATTTCCTGCTTGCTCCCAACACTGGGAAAACTCAGAGTTGCCAGATAAAATACAGAATGCCTATTTCTATTTGAATTTCAGATTAACAATGGCTAATTTTTTAGTATAAGTCCACATCCAGTGCAATATTTGGGATATACTTATACTAGAAATTAGCCATTGATTAGTCATTGCTTATCTGAAATTCAAATGTAACTGGGTGTTCTGTTTTTATTCGCTGAATCTGGCAACCCTACTATGCAAACACCAAGAAACCATGATTGTTTTCTCAATCCCAGGCTAAACTGGCAGTCCTGCCCCGAGGGCCCATACCTCGAGGTCCTCTTCAGTAAAATCAATGACAGAAAAGGCGTTAGAAACCGTTTTCCAGTCGTTCTTGTCATTGATGGATGTCTCTTTGGCACATTGACCCTGTTGACACAGAACTGGGTCACTTAATGGCATTTTTATAAAGACAGTTAGGTGTGTGCACACTTATTCCTCAATCAAAATGGTTTTCTCTAC